ACCTTATAATGATAGAACCAAGTCTAATTTTTCAAACAAGTGTACTTAAAACGAGTCTCTCCTCTTGTGCACAATAGGAACAGGCAAGGTTAAGCCACTCCATTATACACATCACACCAAGTATTGATTGCTTTTTTTTGCAAAATTACCAAGAAATTAAGTAATAGCTCACAATAACTTTGCATTACTTAAACTTACTCATGCAGCACTTAAATTTGTTTGCACCTAATCATTTCCTTATATTCTGCTAAATATATTCTTCTCGTCCAACATCAGTTTCTGACCTCACAAATGTGCTTCTGGTAGAATGACAAAAAAAATCCCACAAACACCCCTAAACCTTGTGGAAAACCTTCACAGAAGAGTTGAAGCTTTCACAGCTGTAGCTGGGTAGCCCAACTTCATACTTAGCCCTATGGACTAAGATAGAGATGTCACCCAAGTTCTATCTGTGTGAAAGCAGACAAGCAAATACTTTTGGAAATATGGTTGTGTGCCTGAACACACCCTATTAGGGATGTTTGCTTAATGACATTGTATGGAGCTAAAACGGAGCTGTAGAGCAGTCTGAAGCATTTGGTTTTCATGGATTACTGTACTGACTTTATTATGCTTAATATGAAAATCCACCACTGTAACAGTATATTTATCACAAAAAAGCATGGGTTCCCTTTGCTTTTGTTTTAAATTAATTTAATATGTTCCTTTTGTGTAAATCAACTCTAACCATCAGCTAGTAAGAGTCTGGAAGAAGACGTCAGGCGTTTGGTAGTAAAGATAAGTAAAGCTCCAGTTAATTTTACACTTAGACAATCATGTACATATTACTAAAGGACTTGCATTGTCTAAACAACCAGAAACACATCTGCATTCAGATATTCATAATAGCTCTTTTAGTACATTTAACTTCTGACAACAAAAACTAAAATGTATATTTAAGGAATTTATGACTCTGCATGCCTGTGTGGGAATACTTACTGCCAGCTCTCCACCCACACTGATGCTGAGCAAACCTCACACCTACTCACAGCCAAGCTGTTTCAGCCAGTTCCATCATATATCCTGCCCTTCAACACAAAGTAAAGTTGAAACTGGACTGATTCTGAAAATGTTAGGCGCTGGCAAAAGACATGTAAGTGAAGTGTCCCTTACAATCAATGAAACAATTGAAAACTAACTAGAAATTTGAGGCTGTTTGAAGAAAGTGTCAGCTTGCCCCATTCATTCATTAGTTTTACATTTCCAGTGTTTCATTTGAACCCATGGGGGGATCATACAGTCCCAGCATGCACTGGGGATAACCTCTGTGACTATCTCAACAATAGAGAAAATATATCATTGCATACTAGCAAATTTACAGTCTTAATCTAATATAGATGCTATATTAAGGTTTACTGAAGCCAGCAGCACTTCAAATTCTGTTCAAATTGGGCATGGAGAAACCTAAGCACAGATTTTGGTTCCAGCAGACCATAAATGCCTGTTTTTAATGTAATATTTTCAATGTCCCTGATTCAGCAAGTAAAAATTCTACAGTTTGCTGCTTTGACTTAATTCAGCCCTATGTTTACATATTTAACAAATACGTATGAAACAAATACTTTCTGAGTCAACTTGGGTTTTCCCTCTAAGGCTGACAAACACAATTATCAGACAGCACCCAACTACCTGCAGTTACTTTGTGTTACAAAGTCTCAAGCATTGCTCATATCTAAACAACAGATAAAGAACAGGTAAACTCAAGATAAGTCCCAGAAAAACATCCATGAGTGTTTGCTGAAACAGCATACAAAATACCAAATTTGCTGATGCAGCACCTTTAGAGAAGGCTGACGGTAGTACGATGGTGAAAAGGCAGAAGTGCTAATCACCATGGAGGCTGGGATTGCTGTTCAATGTTTGACCTTTGAAAAAAAATGAGAATAATATATGTATCAGACTTCTCTTATTGTCTTGATTAACAAGATGAAGTCCTGCCCCATATAAAACTATATCAAATGAGACACAGTTTTTCTGTAAAAGTTAATTTATTAGCATTGCTGAAAGTTGCCGCCTACATTTACATCATTCTGATCAACAGCATAAATCAGCTGATCAACACAGTCATTTCTCTGGTGAGGTTGGCTGGCTATTTGGTCACCATTGCAAATTCATTGACTCCAAACAATACTGAATATCGAATCTGTGAGTAATTGTGCTAAGAAAATATTATGGTATTAAATCATAAACATGTAAAATAAGATTATAATTCCCGTCTTTTCCAATTTTCTAGTGTCTTACAATATTTGTTCTGCTTTTGTTGTTAAATTTCATTTTGTATCTTGGAAAAACTAATTTGTAATCTTTCAATTTATTTAATGCTGACATACGGTGTAGTGCAGGTATTCCCTAATAACACTTGCTTTTGGAGCATCAACATACTATTGCACAATTTCATGTCCTGTTTTAACTAAGAAATAAAAACCTGACGAGTCCTAATGTTCTAATGAGTCACATTATTTTAAATATATTTTGTAGAATTTGAAAATGACAAAACATTCTGGAAAAGCTGGGCTTTCTTATATAACTATGTATAACCATTACAACTGTGAAACACTTTTCTCAGTGTTGTTTATTGTAAACTCCTCTTTTGATCTCTTGTGAATGAATTCTAATCTCTTTATTTTGAGATTATGTTGTTACATTGTAGGTGGTTGTGTTGCATGCAGAGATTTCGGGTTTGTGTTAAGTCATGCTCTGACATTTGTATTGACCTTTGTTACCTAAGTGCATCATATAAGACCAATAGTTCATAAAGAAACTATGTGTTTTCCTTCATTTTTATTCTGTTTTGCAGCTATTTTAGAATTTCATTTCAAAAGCCTGCACTGCACATCTTGAACACTAACTTTTTTTACTTGCCACAGTGCATACTGAAATACAGGCCCCATCAACAGGAGGTACATAAATACATTTCCCACATGGCACTGCTTCAAAAGTCACAAAGCTTGTTTTTGGATGACGTCCAGCATCATACTTTTGCTGCTTGGAGATGAAACTGCAGTCTCCTCTTCACTAATGATCTCTCTGACATTCATTAATCACTGTTACTGTATCAGGTAGAAAAATATTTCACATGCATTTCCCTTCTTTAGCTTCTTATCCATTTCAGATCTAGCCCTGGATAGTTTGGTGGTTGTGACAAAATGTAATCTTTAAAAGCGTACTATTGGTTTTAGCAGCGCTTTCAACACTGTTTGCTTGTAGTAACTGGTAGTTAGTAGGTAACAGGTAGTTATCTCAGCATTTACAATATGAAATAATTTTTATAATGAAGAAACATACATGCAAAGCTGGATTTTATTTCTCATTAAAAAAAATGTCAGAAACTTAGCACACTGAGCCCAATATAGTTTTAAGTCATTGTGAAAAATGTCATTATAAATTCAAATTCAGCCCCTTAACACAGCTAAATGTCACTGTGCAGCTGGGCAATGTCCTGTTTTATTATACTTCCATGAACACAGATAACATCACTAAGTTATACACTTCTCAAGTTGATCTATCCCATACCCCCTAACAAAATGCACTGCTGACAATATTTTTTTTAGAATACTTTATCTTAAATGCCTCCTCAGTGAGTAAACTCACAAAGGGCAGTGGGCCTACACAATATGCAGCAGCAACCCGGCTTTATTCATTCATACTCAAATCTAAATGTATGCATTGATCCAATTCCTTAGGAAATAATTATTCAAACTACAGTGTAAGAAACATTAGCGTTAGCAACCAATATCTTTAGACTGATCATTAAAAAAACACTCTGCTATGACAAGACAACCAAGAACCAGCCCGCACTGCATGAAATCCTATCTTATGCTGTAAAAGTGCATTTTGTACACATGGTAATGTTTACAAATTATAAACATCACTCCATTACGCCACTGTGATGCCACTAGCATGTTTTAAAACTGCAAAGCTGTTAAAACTGACTTGTCACTCACATAGTAGGCCAGCCATTAAGAATACCTTTAACTACCTTCATTTCTCTAGTGGTGGCTACCATTTATAAAATGAGCATTATATTGGATTCAATGATACTTGAAATGATCAATTTGCATCATAGATTTATCAATACAATGCTTATTAAGGTCAAAAACTGGGACCGGAGAGATCTTTTCCCAAAGTCTTCTGTATAACTGGATTTGCAGCCTTTATTATCCTGTTAGCTGCTCTTTACCACCACTTCACTCTAGTTTATCCACTACCTTGCACAAGACCACCAGTAATGGTGGTCAGAAAGCTTGGACAGCTTGAGCTTGGTTCTACCTGAGATCTCTTCTTCTTAAAAGGGAGTTTTTCCCTTTCCACTGTCACCTATTGTTTGCTCTTTACTTTTCACTATACAGCACCTCGAGGCAATTGCTGCTTGGATTTGGTCCCAGATAAATAAACTTTAATTGAATTTTGAGATTTTAAACTAACCTAATTTATTGATTAGATTCTGAATTAAGTTTTAAAAAGCAGTTTTTAGTAATGTTTCTTTTAATACTTGTATTATTATCGTTAATAGTACTGTTATTGTGAGTGCCTTTCTCTTGTTTTGTATATATTCATCTAGTTTCTTTATAGCCCCCCTTGATATATTTCTCCTATTAGTCATTTATTCCTGCTGTCTTACTATTTATATCTTATTCCTGCACAGTTGGTGTGGAGCAACCACAATATCAATAAAGGAACTATTTTATTCTATTGTTTTGTAATAATTTTTCTATTATTATTATTATTATTATTATTATTATTAAAGGTAACCTATTCCACAGAGGACTTTAATTAATTTTAAAATATTCTGTTTTTACAGTGTGATGAGAATGTTTTTCACATAGCAGTAAAGTCCTGAGTCCACCTGTGGTCAGTCTCTTATCGTGGGTCTCCCGGGAATGACTGCAAGTCACTTAAACGTCCTCTGAAGTGACAGAAGCGCGCGCGTGTGTGTGCGTGCGTGTGTTGGCGGATTCCCATCACAACCAAGATGGCGGCGGAGCGGACAGCCGGCTCGGCACAGTGAGTGACAGGAGAAGCAGCCTCGGTCAGTTGGACAGCTAACAGTTAGACTCTGAGGGGGAGAAAAATACAATAACAACACATCCCGCACCGTTCATCTCACCTTCTGTAATGCAACAGCGTCGGTAGAAGCCAGACACCGTCCGAAGTTGTGTGCGAGGACTAATCTGACGTTCACAAGCGGGGTAAGTGCAAAATGATGAACCGTTACCCTGACTGGCTGCTTGGCGTGTTGAGGGATTTACCGAACGGCTGCAGGCTGCTAACTTAGTGCTCGAACAAGCTGGAAATCCCTTATGCTAGCCCTGTCACCTAACTCGTGTATGTGTTTGTTGACATTTGTTTATGTTTTATCTGTCAATAATGACAATTCACTCTCGCAGCTTTTGAACCAGTACGACTCCCATGCTTTCCCCGCTTCTCGACATCTAGGTATGTGCCACAGGTTGTTTGCACTCATCGCTAAAATTTGGGAACATTTTAGTCACCGTGAACAGCCAGTCAAAGCACGTCAAGCCTCAAACGATCCGCTGAAATGTCTGATTTACCCCACGAGCGAGCTAAAAATAACCCAAAACACTCTCCGTTTGCACCCCGTTGCCTGAGGATATTTTAGGTTGTTCGGCTTTGTATCAGGGGGGAAAAACACCTCTCATTTAGCCTTGCTGTTAAGCAGTGGCGTAGAAAGTGCACGGACAGTCTTTCCTATGTTTTATGTGAAGGATTTTCAACCTGGACCGGAGGGTATGTCAGTGGTTTTCACTAAGCTGTGTGGTGGTGAGAGATTTCATGACTGGTGAAGGATGATGAGAGTGTGCTAATGCGGGTTTGCAAACGTGCAAGTTTGATGGGACATGTTTGCTGTTAATGTGCAAATCCTTACACGTATTTCTGTCAGAGAAATGCTGTCAGACCCATACCAGGAGTGGTGCTGGTGTAGTCTGTCAG